CACAAAATATCATAGGAAAAAGTTGAAAAAGACAACCACTTGTATGTTACTTTTTTTTTCTAGAACTGTATGTCGTTCAAATAAAATTCAAGGATTTTTAGGATTTTTAGTGCTTTTTGTTCCAGTCTAATTTTTTGGACTCGTTTTGAATTTAATCTCTAACTTTTGTAGCAATTGCTCTCAGAATCTTTTTTTTGTCCTTCTTTTATGGTTAAATTTCTTCTTTCAAAGATTGTTCGGACATTTTGCCAGCAACCAATGTTCTTCTGTGATCTTACGTTAGTTCCCTGTTTATCTGCCTTTTTTCAGTGTAAAATCGGACTGGTTTAAAATACTCGTGGGAGGTCAACTGCCGCTTCACAAGAAATATTTCTCCATTGCTCGATTTTTTACAAACAAATACCAGAAGCTACGGGAAGACTAAGTATGGATTCAAATATTATAGCGTTTAATATCAGCTTCTGGTGAACGCAAAGCTTGGTTGTACGCAACTGGATAAAACTAATCCAGTAACTAATTGATCAGTGAGTCAAAGCTGGTAAATTGTAGTAATCAGTTGCTTTTTAAAGTTTGACTTCATTGACGGTACGAAGTCTGAATGCTACTACTGTAGTATAGCGTGGCTGAAGTTCCGCTTGGTTCTAGGTTGAATCGACTCATCAGTCCGACGGCATTGCTAATCAACCGATGGACACGAGTCAAGCGAAACCAAACTGCGTCGCGCAAGGCGAAAGGCAACTTTCGTGAAGCACCGCAAAATTATTCGTAAAGCGTAGCTAAATTTGGCAGAAAACAGTTAGCGGCAAAGGTGTGCACCAAAAATGATCTTTAAGTTTCCGGTTGCGCACAGTGTGCCTTTTTTACCGTTGTTCTCGACGTATCTTTGAAGTGTATCGTTGTTCAATAAACTACTCCTGGCAAAGTGTATGAATCATTTTTTGCGCAATTTGTCTATCCGATTAAAATTTGATTCAAAACTGCTTTAGAATGTACAAATGTGTTGCTCGAATTGCATAGTGATACGTGAAGGGAAGCGCTTTTAGAGTTTTTGATCAATTATTTTCATTTATACGTTGCCTCAGCCTCATAAAATATAACATATGGCATAACGTCTTTTGTAAGATGATGCTATTCGGTTAAGCTTCCAATTCCGATGTTTCCTTGTTTTTTTTTTTCAAAACCGTGTTTCTCAAGGTTGCTTTTATCATTTTCGTTTGTTTTTGTTTTCGCAACTTTTATTCGCATATTTCGCTTACAGTTATGATATGAGAAGGTTTTTATGTGTAGAGAAACGGACAAAATTTAC